CCGAACCCAAAACCTTGCTGAGTACCGAACCCGAGCCGAACTCGATCATCACTGAGTACGAACCAACCCAAACGAACGCACCGTAAACTTATTAGAATCGAACATGTTTTATGAATGTGTGACTTGTTTAATGTGTTAGGACCAACCTGTAACGTTTATCTGTTACGACTCACATGCACCATGTATTTGTTACGACACAGGCTGTGATGTGTATTTGTTACGACACACCTGTATTGGCTTTATCTTAGGACACACCTTTAATGTGTATATCTTACGCCACACCTGTAATGTGTATATCCTGCGACACACCTGTAATGTCTATATCTTAAGACTCACCTCTAGCGGCCTTAAAGGGGCGTATTCAATTTTGTGTTCGTTTGCAAAGTATTTGAAGTCATCGTCGAGGTGAAGATACCGGAAGTTGTAACTAATCTAAACCAAAAAATAACAAACAAAAAAAGGAAAAAAAATAATTTTCCTATGATGTTGCTGTAGCTAAAATTTGACTTGCACTGGGTGACTTAATGTATGAGTTATTGTCATGTTAACTTCCTAGTCTAAATAGACTGTTAACATTAACGCTAGCGGTTAGACGAAACCCAACTAAGGAGACAAGGGTTCTCAACTCTTTACAAAAGAAACAATATTACCTACACATGTATTTCTTAATTTCCAGATTATAATTTTTTAAACGAAGAAAGTAACATATACAACACATATAACATATACATTTTTCCGATGACATTTTTGTAACAACTTCTTGAAAGTATGAACCTAAAAAAAATCATATGTTCATAATAAGTATGCTTCTTTTACTTTTAACCTATGCAGAGGCGAAGAACAAAGGAGGGCAAGGTGGGGCGAAGTGGGGCGTGAATGGAGCGGTCCCAAAGAAATAAAGAGTCAGAAAGTTCTATTCATTAAAAAAACTAGGCGAGACTTGGCCAAAGGTAGTGCGCCAATTTTTTGCATGACGACAAAAGGTTACCAACGTAAACAAATGGCGAAGTGCTAGTTATCCTCGCAAGGAGAGAGATATTTCAGTTATATGTGATTCATGCGACCAATGGTGACAGTGCTAGAAGTAGATCAGTACGAGTAAGTGAGCCACTTTATAGCAGGTGGTTTCACCTGCAGGCAAAATATGGCAGATCCGAATGATGCTTCTTTACTTTTCCCAGAGTGGCACATTTTTTCTTTAAGGGGAAGGGCGCCATTTTCGACCAAATGCAAAGTTTTTGTAAGTGGAAAAGGAGTGGGCGGCAAAATTATTGATCCACGCTGGGAGGGGCTAACCCATGTCTTCTAACTCTGCAAAAACCCCAAAGGCTCTCAAGGACTATTCATTTTGCTGACGTTTCAACACTTGAAAAGATAGAAAGACTTAAAAAAAAACCAACAACCCGAAACACTGACACGGAGTGTGGCAATAATGTGGGTACAAGGAAGGACCTATTACAGTGATTGTTTGAATGCCGTGTTGACTGTAGATACAGTGTGGATTGTGATGGTGTATCAGATATCGGTGTGCGCCTTCTGCGTTTCTGAATGAGGTGTTTCAAATGTGCGGCCTTCCTAGGGCTAAGCCACAGGTTCGCAAAGTGATTGCTCTCATCGATTGGTCTGGGAGTTAGGGTTAGGGTTAAGCCACAGGCTCTCAAAGTGATTGCTCTCATCGATTGGTCTGGGAGTTAGGGTTAGGGTTAAGCCACAGGCTCCCAAAGTGATTGCCCTCATCGATTGGTTTGGGAGACGAAGCGCAATCTTCAAATATTAAATCTTCAAATCCCGCCTTTTAAAAATTTCCCCAAAAGAACTCGTTTGAATCGGAGACCCCGGTTAGAAATACAGGTCAACTTACGCTATAGTCTGGTAATGACGCGTCCATGTCTGACTTTATGACACATCGGTCAAGGACAAGCTGACAGAGGAAAAAAAAAACACTTCAACTTAAATTTGAAATGACTCAGATTTATACCAGTAAACTAGCATTTAAAGTGGGATATATCAGAGTCCTTGGTCTAATGGCGTCACTAGAGTCCTTGATCTCATGGCGTAACTAGAGTTGGTGTCAACCAGTTCGGCTAACTCATGGTGTCACTAGAGTTGGTGTCAACCAGTTCGGTTAAATCATGGTGTCACCCCACACGCTCAAGACATTCCATGGAACTTCTACGAGTTTGTCTTCTGGGTGACAACCCTGCTCTGGTGGCAACCCTATCTGATGCAACCATTTCTGCTGGCATCCTGACTTGATTGCAACCTGATCTGATAATTTTTGCTATGGTGGCACCCTCATTTGTCAGGTGACACCCTGCTCCGAGGGCAGCATGATCTGGTGGCACCCTGCTCTTGCGCGTATCTGAGTTCTGTCATGAAACCGATCGACCGAATTCTTGTCAAGTGTGAAAATTTTCTATTAGGTGTTACACTCTGGTGAGATCATCGCCCGGTGCGGTCGACGCCCCCTGCAGCCCCCTTCCCCCAAGCCACTACTAACTACTTAACAAAAAATGATATCATGAATGAAACCAAAAAAAAAAAAAAAGATATCCCAGTGTTTTTTTAAACCGGGGTTCCGCGGAACCTAAGGGTCATGTGAGTGCCAGCCAGGGGTTCCGACGATGGCAAGTAAAAATATAACAATAACGGCCAAAATCGCGATGGACCAAGTGCATCAGTACCGCCATAGTACGGCAATTAGTCGTTGTTCATCCACTTAATTACTGTTTCTGTTTTTGTCCTAATGAACGTTCTGCGTTCGACTTGATTTTCTCAATACTCTCGTTTTCTGCGCGACCACGGACCGATTCATTAAGACGAAGAAACAATACGATTCCACAGCTGTCGACCAAACTAAAATTCAGCAGCAGTCGACTGAAGCTACAGTTAGTACCGCGTCATGTGACCCGAACGTGCCGAAGATTGTCGTTTCGATCGATCTGAATCATACAGATTGTCAGTTCAGTGGCAATAACATAACTATGGACTTCGACAGGAGACCCTTGCTTAACGGCATGGGGTTCCATCAGCAATCTAAACGCTAAAAAGGGTCCCATTCCGATAAGAAGGTTTTAAGCACACCGACATCCTATTCATTCACTTACCATGTAAACGCTTGGCAAATGTTGAATGAGACCGAGGATTGGCACACCGTAGACCTTGGAATAGACCTGTAGGCACTCCTCCCACCTGTGGAGACAATGTAAACAAAAGTGGCGAGTCAGTACCTACAAATACAAATAAAAATGGGCCAAAATTACAAAGGGAAATAAACAACTACACACAAAAGAAAACAACCAAGCAAATATAATTTCCGACACTTGACCATTAATACAAGCAGTACAACCAATGCAAGCAATACAACCAATGCAAGCAATACAACCAATACAAGCAGTACAATCAATGCAAGCAGTACAACCAATGCAAGCCATCCAACAAATGCAAGCAATACAAGCATTGCAAGCAATACAATTGTTATGTAGGACTTCCCCTTACCGTGCACTTTGTTTGACCCCACATTAGATTCCTAGAAGACGCTAACGTTTGTTGTGGGCGTGGTTTAATCTCTTTGATGTGTCATGTTTACTACCGACTACCAATTAAACATGGTTAGTCTGTCTCCTAGTATCTTGTCGAAAGTTCTCGATTTGCCGAGAAACGTAAACAAATGCTGAGTAGTTTCTGGAAGGCAGTGCTTACGCTGCACATATAAGGGATTGACAGGCACGGAGATTGAGAGAGATTCAGATAGATTGATAGATATTTTTAACTTCACGAGACGTGTATTATTCTTTGCGTACTCATGTGTGTTTATTCGCATTCATCATTCATCATAATTAGTTGGCACCTTGTACTAATTGTGTACCGGTACAAGATTTTTTTCATACTCTGTAAGTTGATGATTTGTAAATTATATTTCTTTTGTTTTGTAATTATTTTAATTCTTAAATAAATCTTATTTATTGTGGGTAGCAACTGTTTTGGGTGTCGTATTTTTGCTATTGTATTTTCTCTATGGTATCGTCCTTTGTTGTGCACTGTTTGAACGAGCCATACATTTAAAATAGGAGATTAAGTTCTAATTATAGAAGGCAGTGCGTAACAACAACCAATGACAAAATTCGTGAAACACTGGTACACTTGAATTTCCACGAATCCACTCATTTAAAATTTTATTTTTGCAACAGTGTTCTGTAACTGAGTTGAAGAAAGTCCCATCCCGCCAGTGTTCTGTAACTGAGTTGAAGAAAGTCCCATCCCGTCAGTGTTCTGTAACTGAGTTGAATAAAGTCCCATCCCGTCAATGTTCTGTAGCTGAGTTGAAGAAAGTCCCATCCCGCCAGGGTTTTTATAAAGAAACACCATTTTAACGCGACGCCCCTAATAATCCTCTGCACCCACACGCCTCGTGGTTTGCCATGTCTTGCAGGGGCTAACATCAACATAGGAATTAGAATCGCTGATTTATGTTTAAAAATAATACTGTTTTAAGTTTTCCTATCCTAGTGCCCGTGTCTTCTGGTATAATGTTCAGACATCTGGCGACAAGGTCATGAAAGGCAGTTCCGGTTCATAACAGCAAGAACACATTACAGGAACAGCTCTTTCCCGCCAAAGACAATCAGAGACTGGAACAAGCTTCCAAAAGGTACAGTTGAGGCGACAACACTTGACACATATTGCGTCTATTGCCTCAGGCCTTCCAACCCCAAGTTCCTGATGTCATCGCTGTGTACCCCTTGCAACAAGTAACATTTCTTATTCAATACCAGGCATACAAACATAGCAATCCCATAGGCATAAGTAGGAGCAGAATGATCAATACATTTATCGTGGGCCTTTAATATATAGAGGAAGAAGAGTGATTAACTCATTATGATCTATTCATGGTTGTACTATTCATTTAGCGTTAGGATAAGAAGGGGAGAGACTGCATTTAGCGTTAACACTGACAATGATCCATGAAAAATTAGAACGCCTCTGATAAATGTAGCATTCTAACAAAAAACTAAGGAGATGAGTAACGGATACCTTTCATGATTGACGACCGCCTCCGCCACTGACAGGTGACCCTTGCTAATGACGTCATCAAAGAACCCCCGCCCCGAAGCGTTGTAAATGAGACCAGCCCCGGCGGTCAGTAACATCCGGACCACGGCAGCGTGCCCGTTACTGGCGGACAGATGCAGGGCCGTGTTCTGGAAGGAAAAAAAAAAAGAGAAAAATGGGCCTACATTAAATCTTGAAGTGCTGCATTATTTTGAATGCAGTTTACGTTTCGTGACTTTGCCCAATGCTTTGCTTGCACCTTAGGCGTAGCTATAGGTTTAGTACTGTCCAGGGTGGGTTAATATTTTTGCCGCCTCCTTCTATCCACGAAAAATTTACCTCCTCCACTACCCCCGACCATATTTCCCCTTTGTACACCACTGTCTGTCAATGGTTGGCATTAGCGGTAACCGTAATACCCCAAGACGCAACAATTTTTACTTAGACTTTTACATTAAAAAAAAAACAACCTTCCACGTTGTGCTGCGAAAAAAGTGGGGGGGAGGGGGTGAGTCCAGGTTCTCTCAAGGTCGTTGGTTAAGGGGAGATGAGGGTGGGGCAAGGCATTCACAACAAAGAGAATCGTGCCTGTTACATTACCCCATCAAGGTTGAGACAGTCCAGGAGGACGCCGTGCATGGCCAGCAAGAGGTGGACGCAGGCTGTATGGCCGTTTTCTGCCGCCCGGTGGAGGGGGGTGTTGTCTTTATTGTCCCTGCGGAGGGAAACAGGAAGAGGGGGGGGGGGGTGGCGTTATACGGCTGGGAGGCTTAAGCTAGTGTTGTCTTTGGAGGGATAACTTCTACTTTATTAAAAGTGTTTAGTCCTAGTGAAAAGAACCCAGACATGCATGCTGCCTAAATACAAGTACAGTAGCACTGTTGGGAAAGAAAACTGATGTAACTGTAAGGGTTGAACGACGCGGAACGGCACTAAGCAGTCGGTCATTTACCGGACAATGAGAGCGCCCCTTTGAATGAGGATGGTCAAGATCTTCAGGTGGCCATTTTGAGCCGCAAGGTGCAGGGCGGTCATACCGGCCCCGTCTGCTTCATTTTTCATGATGGATCCGTTGGGACAGCTCAGCAGCAATCTGCAGGTGTTGATACGGCCTTGACTGCGAATACGAGACGGGAGAAGCAGGGTGAAGGTCATAAGACAAACACAACGAGTTTTGATTAACATAAAATATCACTTAGGGGAATGGGGAAGCTTAACCACATAAAAGAAACAAAAAAAAATTTTGAAAAAAAAATGTTTGCAAAAGTCTTTCCGATATTTCCACAGGTTGCATTCTCTAAAGTTGGTGATGGGATTCGATAATTTAACAACCATTTCAATTTATAAAGTATTAAAAAACGATAAACGGAAAGTTATTTTATTATTTCATTGGATTATGACTTAACTAAGAGTAGTAAAACATATACACACGACTAGATCATAGTATATGAAACATAATTTTAAAAAAAAGCTATATAAATTTGTGATTTCCATTTTGGGTGGCTGCCTAGCAGAGGCGTAGCTAGAGTGTTTGGCGCCAGGGGATTCGCACCCGGGGACAAGATTCATCTTTAAAAGTCCCCCCCCCCTACATTTTCTTTTTTTAACCATCAAACCCGTTATTGTCATCAATAAAATAATATCAAAGCTCATTTTGGCGACCCTAACTAGCTGGCGCCCGGGGACATCTGTCCCCCCTGCCCCCACCTCCCTCACTACGCCTCTGCTGCATAAGCACCGACTTTACAGAGAAACCTCCTCACAGGTGCCATTGTAGCAACTGGTTTATCGAATTTAACTAACATTTAAGTATTTGATCTCACGAACCTGATGCAAACGGGGTGGGGGGGGG